ATGGGAAGTCCAATATTTTAACGTTATTGCCAGAACAGGAGTAGAGGAGAAATCTCAGGGAAGACATGGAAATTTGTATTGGTGATAACTGCCTATGAAGGTATTTTATCTCACTTTACTGTTTCCTCTCATTTCTTGTTGTATCACTGGGGCATAAAGTGAAGGCAAATCTCCCCAAGGGGATCTAAAGTTAAAAACATTGTTTGCTTTGTAATTGACCTTAAACGTATCTCTAGGCAAAAACCTTTCTTTAATTATGGATAGAGTGTGAAAGGTTAAGACGCTCTGTCAAGTTTTTATTAATGCCTGTATTCCCATTGGAGAGCTTCATTCCTCTATGTGCACGAATGACCATGGTCACCGATAAAGAGAAGGGAGGGAAATCCAACATGTTAGAGTTGTTCCTAGAACAAGAGGTATGGGGAAATCAGGGGACACTGGTTAGGGGGAGACCTATCTGACCTGTCTTTAACTTGCTGTTGCGTCTCTGGGACCAGAAGTGAATGGACATTTCCCTAATTGTAAACAGACAGAAAAAATAGTTCATACACTTTAAAGAATAACTGTGTTTTCATGTTTTTTTTTTTTACTTAGCTCCCCACTCCACCGAGTGCTTTATTTCTTATAGTTACCTTCAGCCCTGATCCAGGGATCTGGATCTACAAATACATGTTTGCCTATGTGGAATTCCCATTACCTGCAGAAGCACTTCGCGATGCAACTCTGAATGTTTAATCTGAACCTCAGTCTGTCATCCTTGAATCAACATTATGAATGTCATGTTAAATAATCAGTTCATGTTACTGTTTGTAGTTTATTAACATGGAAAAGATGTTGTTTAAATTTGCAGAAATGAAGGCACATAAACACCAGATATTCCATGCTTTTATTGAAACACCAAGAATGTATTTTAGAATAGTAAATCCTCAATTGGCTAAGATCTATTCATTGAAATAAGAAGTAAAATCTGAAAGATGCTGTATTACTAAAGCAGTATTAATGTTCAGAAAAAATGGTCTTAATGTGAATGTGAGCATTCAGTGCTGCCTAAGTAAAATCACATTTTCAGCATAATCCTCTTTATACCCCTTCAATCCTGTATTAGATCTCTTGTATGGAAACAGTTAATAATAGATGTCATGTCTGATTTACTGAAGACAGAGAAGCACACAAATGAGGTATTATAGGTAACACAATGGAGTCAAATGAAGATAGCACACACCTATAGAGTGATTGCCATACAATGTGTAGTTGAGGCCTTAAGTGGTATATACCAGATAATGTGTGGCAATGTAGAAAGATCTCATTACAAAGTTCTATTTATTATTTCTTAACGGGAAAGTCCCGCACGGTATTTCTGCAAACAATGCTATGCAATGAAATCAAGTGCATATTTCACATGAAAGGTCAAAAATAAATAGATAAATAAAGCCCTCTGGGCAAGTAGTACAGTGCAAGGACCCTTCTTTTATTCACTGGTTACATAATTGCCCTTCTACATTGACGAACGCAACTGGTTAATTGATTGGCTAAATTCAGTTGTATGAAAACTCCCGATCTTCAGAGCCAGTTCCTTTGAGCTGAAGAATTAATTCATGTATTTTGGGAAGTTTTAAATAAGTTGATCTCTCCAATTTATCAAAGTTTATAGGGGTTTTGTGATTGATCTGGGAGAAACCTGACAGGTAACTCCTGCATTGCATGAGCCACGTAGACAGACAAAGTGGTCGGTCTGTAGTGGTCATAATTAAAGGCATAGTACACCTTTTAAAAATGTAAGTGCACAAACATTAATAAAAAAAAAGTGCATTTAGTAAATGTTTGCATTGAAACCTGCAGAGATTTGCAACTGTGATCAATACATCGCGAGTGTAAAGCACAGGCCCCTTCATTGTTTACCCCCAGGCCCAGGTTTATACAGAGGTACGGACCTTCAGTTATGGGGCTGGAGGAAGTAAACAATCGACTACAAGTTTGATATGCACGTGTGCTCTATTGAGAGATGTGAGTCCCTCTGCGGCACTGACAGATGGGACTTGTAGTCCTTCCATTTGCAGATCCCTGTGAACCGATCCGTGAATAGATGACATGGCTGGGAGGGGCGGAGACATGCAAATTCAATTCAGAAAGCTGCAGGAGGAAGCGCCCTGCAATTCAGGTAAGGGGGGGTTGGAGATTGTGATCATGTTTCAAATTACACCCAAATATGAGTGTAACATGAAACATGGTCTTATAGGCAGGCTAAGCCCTTAAGGGGTCTATGACATTATGGAACTCCAAGTACCAATAGGAATAAAATAAATCAAAGTAATAGATCCAGAAAATGTTATTTACAGTTCTACTACATAAAAGGTTTCTGTTTAAGGACAACTCCTATATTCTGTAAAATTAAGATTAAGAAAAGCTTGTGTTCAAATATAATACAATTCTAGTGGACAAATGCACACCCTCTCATATTTAAGGGGTGAGAATATGAACTCAAGGCCTCTTCTCAAGTTTTGTGAAGACACAAAGTGGGACAATGCAACAAGAGCAGAATAATCGCGGTATAATTATCATGAGATTTGATTTCTCCACCTGTAAGATTAAAGGCACCATTATTTTTTAAACACATGACATAAAACAAATCGCTCTGCCTTGCATGTGGGCTTTTTAAACCACTGTCGCTGAACAAAACACCAGTTCAGAGTCATCTGCTGTAGTTTTTGCCACCCCAGAGTTCCAACGTTTGTACCATGCAGATTGAAGCATACGTGCGTCATTCTGAAATGTTCTGTATTTGTAAACAAAACATCAAATACGTTTCTGTCCTGATTAATCCATTGTACAAAGCTTGCCCTTGATTTTGTTTCTTTACAAAGAAAAACAAAAACCCCCCAGAAAAGAGCAGTGTATTGTCTGAGTCCATAAATACCGTCTCCTTGATGGTTTGCAAAGAAAAGAGAACCTAAGTGACTGTGTGTGGAACACCTGCAACCCTTCTCATCCAACACACTGTAACCTGAACCCTAACAATAAATAACTTATAGCAATTATGGAGGCTCCTTTTTCGAGGCTATGGTATTCTTCAGGCAATAATGGGAGTATTACTTTGTAGCTCTACAGGTTTCCTCTCGAATATCTCTTTCCCTACAGGTTTATCTAACTTAGTTAAGAAATGTAAAGCTGAATTCCAGGCACAAAATCTTTCCTATAGTCACAAAATATAGATATTAACTTTGTGTGCACCAATTGCCTTTGCAAGCCCAGATATTACCTTCTACAAGTAGCAGTGACATCATCACTGGGCTTCACATCCACAGCCTGTGCAGAGAGCAGAGTTGTAGGTGGATACAAGACCAGTAAACCTGCACAAGTTATGAGAGTGTAGTAAGGGCAGGTCTTTATTACAGGAAACACTTGCACAGAGACAAAGTGCAGGAGTTGTTTCATGCTGGATTACTGCACAGCTCCCAGAGAAGTACACAAAGAACACTAAAAGTAAGAATACACATGGCTCTTGTATTTACACAATGTTTGTTTAGCCTGGAGTTAGACTTTAAGCATTATAAGGGTTACCATTCTGCTTTAGTAGAAGTGCTTAACATTATTTCCTGTTATAGATGTTCTATCATAGGGGGATGACATGCTGAAATCCAATAGATATGGTAACATAACAGGAAAACAACCCTTAAGGGTTGCCTTTTTCTGTTTACATTAACTCCATGGCTGGAGCAATGCCATCTTTTGGACCCTGCTTACCTCCGATTAAAAATCTTAGTTGCTTGGCTGTCATCCCAATCCTCTTGTTTAAAGAGTGATTCCAGCCAACACTTTTTCTTTTGCATTGAATATCATGTGGAAGGATTAGAACCTTTGTCCGTTTTTACTGCTGCCTGAGGTCCCAATAGGAAGATTTCCCCCACTTCCATTCCTGGTGACAAGAATGAGGGGAAATCAAAATCCAGTTACTATGTGATGCAAAAACCTCAAAGTAAAAAGCCTAATTTATCCTCCCTGACGTAATCAAATCCTCTTTCAATTGTGTGTCACATAGTCCCCTTCCCAGACACTGCAGCTCACAGTGGGTTTCAGCAACAGAGGCAATGCTGCCAATCCGGAAAGCAGTGGGTAAGACTGGGCGTGGCTAGGTGCTGTTCAAGCTGCAACCTTGTTAATCAGCAGTGACTCCTACAGAACATTTTTTTCATCCTATTGTAGGGCAAGCAGGCACAGACCACATGAATTCTGGAGCAGTGCAGCATTGCTGCCACACCAACACAGGAAGCTGCACAAGGTGGGCTTTTCTGGCACTTTACACAGGGGACTTTGAGAAAACTGTAGGTGCAGATGCACTTATAATTAAGTGATACAGCACAGATTTTAATGGGAGGCTACAATTCTACTTTTTGTTCCTCTCAGAGGTTTCCCATCATCCTTGTCACCTGGACTGGAAGTGAGGGAAAATAAGCCCACTGGGGCAGCAGTAAAAACTGACAGAGGTTTTAAGCCTTCCTCACTTTATCCTAAACTAAAAAAGTTTTGGCTGCAGATACACTTTAGTACTGTGAGTCACCAACCTGGAAGAAGCATGCACATCATCAGAAAGGTAAATTTACTCTATTGGTTTTACAAGACCAATAGCTTAGGAAGCACTGAACCCTCAAACAGCTGGCAACCAGAGTTTTTTTTAGAAAAAGGCCAGCAAGGGCAGCGCCCTTAGTACAGGCCCCCTTCAAGCAGCAAGGTTCCACATTGATAACCACACCCCACAAAGCAATAGTTGAGATTTCCTATACTTCAAGTACAAAAATCTTGGCAAAGGGATACATGAGAGAAATTTAGAGAGTGGCAGTAAACACATGGAGACAGGGGTCCCCAATGTGTGCATGCATTATAAAATAAATAACATTGCACCTGCCCATTTAAAATGACTCCAACTGCATTAGATAGAACCTGTATAAATAAGGAGCACATGCAGGAAAATAGGGATCTCTTCTATTGTGGTACATGTTCTTATTTTAGAGCTGGGGTAAGGTAAAAGTGCCATTATAGTAATTAGAACATTGATTACAGAGAAAGCTAAAGAGAAAACTAATAGCTAGCTTAGGGCTTCCTTTTGCAACATGTTACCAAGTACCAACTATTACTTCCTAAGTGATTTCTACTTGGGACACTGGCTTTGCTAGCAGCAGGGAAAACAACTGCAATGACATAGGACTGCGCTGGTCACGTGCTCTGGTAAGTCAGCTCAAACATATTGCACGACTCTTCCAAGCTGTCATCCACATTCAGCCTTTTCCAGAATGATTTCTGTTTCTTCTGTAGCTCCTTGCGCACACATCTTGGGCAAGGGACAGTTTTCACTTTGCAGTCAGTGTGGAAGACAGCGCCACAATTCTCACACCTGAAATAAAAGAACCAGTAAATCAATGAAATTCAAAGAAAATTACAGTAATTTTAAATACATATATGGAAACTTTCATATGTGCCAAAGGAGTTGTTTTTGTTCTCCATTCAGTTCTGAGACTCACACACTCGTGTCGGGCAGCAAAGCCCGGCTGTTGATCTGACTCTCTGCTGCAGGTAAGCAATAAGGCATTTGCGACATGCTTGTTCTAAATTGGTGACTAAAAATCATTACAGCCATTGGATAAGCATGTCAGCCAAACAAGTAGCATTGTCAGCAATGGCCACCTACATTTCAGGTTTCCTATATGTTGGTACATAAAAAAAAAAATAGGATAATGGTAAGATAAAAACATTTACAGACATAAAAATAAAGGATAATAATAATATAAACATATAATATACAGACATAAAAATAAAGGATAATAATAATTTAAACATATAATTTACAGACATAAAAATAAAGGATAATAATAATAATAGAAAAATATTATTTACAGGCACATATGGTAAAACAGTGCTTAGTGGATCTAAAATAAATAACAGAAAGTATGTAAAACAATCTCATTCATTACAGACTTCCACTACTTGGCTGTGAACCAGGCCACTGCTATGTACAGTGTTGATTTTTCTCCTATTACATTAAATGTTCTAAACACACACAATGACTTTTTGAACAAAACAAGATTAGCCCTTTTCACATCACAGGATCCCAATAACTGACCTAAATACTGCCAGAGTTAATCCAATGTTGACTGCTGTATAAAGCAGTGCAAATATACCTGAAATTGTTCTACAAGAACCGATGGACAGTAAATAGCAGCTAATTGGCTCTACTTTGTATAATGTAAAGTAAATAGACTTTGGCTTGTCAGGACAGGGGTCTAATGGAAACCAAATAGCCATCAATTTGCTCCACTGGATTTAATAGTACACTGTCTTCAGCTTGGTCTATTACATCTAACAAACTAGAAAAAGATAACAGTTCTTTGGAATTGAGACACTGCAAGACAGCAGTCAAAACATGTAAACATTCAAGCTCTCGAGTTCAAAGATAAGTGATGGTTTCATATAATTGCAGTAATTTTTTCCACAATCAAGATGTAATTTTACAGCACCCCTGTGAATGACAAAAGTAAAGTGCATTGAATGTTGTGTGTCCTTGGCAATTTTTGCTAAATGAACTGATGATCTTCAGTGCACTTGTATATTTCTGCTTCACTGACATTAAACACAATACTTATTAAAGTGAACCTCCAGGATTTGTCTTGCTTGGTTTTTTTAAAATCAAAAAACAAAACAAACATATACCAGCTTTTTTCCTGCAGCCTTGTAGCCGGTCTGGCTACATCACGGCAGCTTCCACTTCTTCCTACGGGGACGGCGACCGGGGCGGACATTATTTCTACGCTATGTACCCCTCATGTAATGGCCTGTGAGGGCAGCTCGTTTCTGGAGTACTAGGAGCCCATTCTGTGTGACGATGTGTCACCCAGAGTGTGTGCGAATGACAGCCCAAGGCTCACAAGAAATGGGCAAAATAACATGACTAATGTTTTGCCCCAAGAGGACTGCCTTGGAGGAGTGTCAGGGTAAGCAGAAATTAGGAATATTTTTTATACTACAGTGATGTGCGCATGGGGGTGGGGGAATACGTCCAAAGAATAAAATAATTCAGTTGGATTTCTACTTTTACAGACCAATTTGGATGGGCAAAATACAATAACCCACAGAAACCAAACTTCAAGGGAATGTACAGAAGTATGGTATACATGTTCTAATAGGGTATTATGGTCAGGAGTAAAAAAAAAAAAAAAATAGTTAAAAGAATGATAAAATGTTATATGTTAAATATAAATTACATTATAAAAGAATATTTAAAACATTTACTGTTTACATTTTCCCCCTTTTTTCAGCCCATGCATTGTTTGTAAGGATGTACATTTTTTGCCAACACATTTATAATGACAGCTGTTTAAAGGATCATATTACTATAGTTCGGTCCCCTGTAGGCCTTTCACTTTTAAAGCACACTGCTATTATCCTTATGTTTTGCCATGGTGCACCACATGCGCTGCTATCAAAGCCTTCAATTTGATTTGATTCTGCATACTGTTATTATCCCCATGTTTTGCTATGGTGCACTAGGTGCCCTGCTATTAACACTTTGGATTTTATTTTATTCCGCATACAGATAATTTCCTTTTCACAGTGAAATAAACCGTCAATTTAACATTTTTGTTAACTAACATGACTATGTATAAAATATTCTGACGCCTTCAGGTTACTACTGAAAATAATTGTGACGTATAGAGGATCATATGTGTGTGCGTGTGTGTGTAGAAGGTGTTAAAAAATAATACACACTGGGTGTCAACCATGCAAGGCACACCACTGCATAGAGAGATCTGCTCTCTAAGCCAAATGCATATATATCCAAGTCAGAAAAGACTCTGTGCTAGTGTGCCAATTGCTCCTTTGACTGGGAAAACTCAGTTTCTGTCTATGCATAGGAGGCAAATTCAAGTTGTGTAACACATAACATATTTCAAATGTAGTGAGAAAAGTGAAGGGGTAAAGGCAAAGTCCACGTTTAACGCGCAGCAATGCAACGCTGTGGTGTGAACTGTCTCTATTCACTCCTATTCATTTTTTGTTGCCCTCGTGGTACAATCCGTAAAAAAATTGATGGTAACTCAATGGATCTTGTGTGAATGGGGTCTAAAGATTGGTATTTTTTCTTTAGGAACACAGACACACTAGAAATAATAAAGTATGATTTAGGTTGCTCCCGGATATTTCTGCTATTTCTGAGACCTGTATCTGGAATGTTTTACAAAAGGATAGTTAAATAGGTTATTAGTGTGTAGGTGTGAACAGTTAAAACACAAAATGAATCCTATATTAATCAAATCTTATCTAGCACACTAGTAATTTGTTGTGACCTGAATGCAGCTGTGTAAGAATATGTTAAGGAAAAAAATGACTAATTGCTATGATAGTAGAATCAGGTCTGTGTTCTTTTTCTGACACACCTTTCCTCTTGGCTGATACCTGTAGTTACCTATGCCTCTTATCAACAGACTTTAGTACAACTGGCTCCTATAAAATAGTTTGGCTGTCTAGATGCACCTGCTGCTTCTATCCAAAGGTCTGTATGCAGGAAAGCAAATGAAGATAAAGGTGAACAATTGCAAAATAAAAACACCCAGACAAAGAACACAAGTCATGGTTCTTGGTACTTATTAACTTGGGCAAGACAGGCATAGGATTAATCTGATAAAGTTCCCCCTGCTTTTATCGAAGTGCAGAAATATTTAATGCTAATGTTAACACTACTGCTTATAGTATACTGACTAAGTATACTGACTAATGCTCATAGCATTTAGAGTCCATTCACATTTTGTCTTTTTTAACTGTGCAGGAAGAATACAGATAATAAAGAGAGACCGGCTGCTTTAGACAATAAGAAGACTTCATAAAAAGCTCAGTGATTTAGAGGACTGTCCAAAACCCTTACTAATGTCGTCAGTCTGAAGCTGGCCAGATACCTATAGATTTTTGTTCGGGAATTTTCGCTGCTGCCAAGAACCCTCTTTCGATTCTAGCTCAGATAGCCCTTCGAGCACAGACCAATGTGGATTTCGAGAATCATACGATAGCAATACTAACTCACAGAAATTCGTCCATTGACAGAGCGGATTTTCGTTTTGCGCATGTGCAGTGTTCCTGCTGCAATTTTTTTTGTACGAAACCACCACTAATCCATAGATTTTCATACAATTCAAAAAAGTTTTCCAGCCTCACCCTTCGAGAAAATCCAAGCAGGATTACAGTTCAAAATATTGTTGGTGTTCCATCAACTGTTCGATTATCAAAAGACCATTCCTGGAACATTTCTGAATGAAAATCGAAGAGTGTATGGGCACGTTTAGCCTCTGCACAGGCTTTGCAATCAAAACTGAGGCATACAATATTATGTTAAACCTGTCTTAGATATAAATGATCCAAACTAAGAATTATGATGTTTAGCCTGGTTCCATTTTTTCCAGCTTTGCTAACCACCCTAATCTATCTTACACCCAATAAAACATGGGGCTTTTTGGCATGGGCCATTTTAAACCTGCTATACCACATAATTCTTAGTTTGACTTCTGAGTCCCTAGTTTTACTTTAATGAACAAGCAAAGACAATGCAGATCAAATTCATGTACATGCATTTTGTAGAACACTAATTGCAAGCTAAAGATGACCTTACACAAAAGATGAATGTTGCACCATCCATCCATCTTCAGCTAGCCTGTTTTATGCTTATCCTATGGGCACTATGCGACTGTGCTGGACACCCCCTGAATGGTCAGACTTGGGGAAAAACTTATTGGTTAACTTCCATGACCAATAACTAATGTTCCTCTTGATAAATTAGACGCTACACCTTGCGTGAACATGCATGTTTGGCCTATACTAGCATCAACTGCTTTCATAAGGGGTGGGTGGATCTTCTGATTTCATCTTATGTCTATGGGCACCAGAGGTCTGAAGTAATTTAGTATTTTTCTTGAATTTCAGATTTTATAAACAATTAAAAAACCACTAAACTCATATGTTATATCAATTATATATAAGCACAGCACACTATTATCGTACCCTCTTTATGAATAATGAAGAACCCTACTCTAAAATAGAACATGGTTTTAAATTTGTTGTTAAATGCAGTAAATATTGCCAGTGAACATTTTTACCTTCTTTTTTTTTTTTTGCATGTAACATGCAAACACAGAAGCCAACACCCTTATATAATGTCAGTCTACAACTTCATCAGCTGACTGGTAACTAACATAGTTCAAACAGAGAGCAGCCAATAAGAAGAGGAAACTGATAAGAGCTAAAAGACAAACCTACCCCAATCCAGCCACTTACAGACTTTAAAAACAACTGTACCTTAATTTAATTGTCCCTTTATAAATCCCCCCTACCCCCTGGTAGGAGGCACCCCCT